TGCAATCCCTTCTCCTCCATTCTCCTCTTGGGATCTTGGGCACGCACGCACACGCGCCCGGCGTGAGTTTCAAGCCACCGGGTCCGGGACGCGAACTGCGGTTGACTACATGGGAGTCCAGCGACACAGCCATTCCGCTAACTGCTGGTTCCCTGAGTCTTGCCTTTCTAATAAACTGATAAATGTAAATAAAATGACTTTCTGAGCTCTAGGAGCTACCGTCTGGCGTCACCCAAGCTGCAGAGAGAGTAGAATGTATAACGCCTGAGTGTAGGAGCCGCTTGGTCAGAGGTCCAGGGACTTGAGATGCAAGTGGGAGGAGTCTTATGGGAGGAGCCCTGAAACCTACAAAGTCTGACTCGAACTCCAGGTAGCTGGTGTCAGCATCGCGTTCCATCGTACAACCTGGTTTGCGTTCAACTCTTTCGAGAATCGGTTGTTGGTAGGACCAGCAGTTAGCATAATGGCTATGTCACTGGACTCCCATGCGGTTTGAGTCCCGGACCCAGTGCCTTAAATTCACGCCGGGCACGTGTGTGTGTGTGTGTGCCCAAGATCCCGAGAGGAGAATGGAGGAGAAGGGATTGTGGCATGGCCATCCCCCCTGGGGGGTGATTTCTTGCTTTCTATCTTTCTGTCTCTCTGTCTCTCTCTCTCTGTCTGGTGAGCATATGCGCCCTATAGCAAAAAACCTCTCCAAAAAAATAAAGAAAGAAAAAAGCTATATAAAACAAATTCATTTTAAAAGAAACCTAGGGGGACCAGCAGATGGTGCAGCAGTTATATAACTGGATCCCCACATGGCCAACTATAGTTCAAGTCCCGGACACGGTGGCTTGAAAATCACACCAGGTGTGTGTGTGTGCGTGCCCAAGGTCCCAGAAGGAGAATGGAGAAGGGATTACTGTGTGGTCATCTCTCTTTGAGGGTGATTTCTCACTTTGATTGTCTCTATCTCTCTGTCTCTCTCTCTCTCTCTCTGGCAAGCACATGGCAAAAATCTACTAAAAAAAGAAAAGAAACTTGGGATCAAGTTATTAATACCAATAACATAATTTACAACATAACATGCAAGATAGAAAAAAAGAGTCAAACTAAGTGAGGCAGGACATGCATAGTGATAAAATTCACACTGAAACTGGAATTATTACAAATTGTCATGCACCACAAAAAAAAAATCTAGTATAGGAAAAAATAGGACAAGTTGAAAATCATAATTTTGATGATAGACTCCTTGAATTCACCTCTGTCAAAGGGTGACGTATCAAAAATATATATGAATGGGGCCAGCCGGTGGCGTGGCGGTTAGGGCACTGAACTCCCACCTGGCTGACTGCATTTCGAGTCCCGGACCCGGCTTTGAAAGTCACGCTGGGTGCATGTGCGTGGGTGTTGAAGGTCCTAAGAGGAAAATGTAGGAGAAGGGATTTCTACATTGCAGCGTGGTCATCCCCCCATTGGGTGATTTATCACTTTCCTTCTCTCCGCTCTCTCTCTTTCTCTGGTGAGCGCACACGCTCTATGCTAGACACCTAAGGGTGGGGGAAAAAAAAAAGATTCCTGGTTGCAAAGGTAGGGAGGGGTGAACAAGCAGGGTACAGAGGATTTTAGGGCAGTGAAGCTGCTCTGGATGATACCGACGCTCTGACGGAGGATTCAAAGCATTCTTTCCACACTCGTCCAAACCCGTAGACTGTCCGACTAGAAGCGTGAGCTCCCCTGCAAACTGGAGTCCCTCCTGGTGGTGGGTTGAGGTATGGCCTTCCATTGCAACCCAACCAAGGTGCCACTCTGCAGGACGGTGGGAGTGGGGCAGTCCGTGCACGTCGGGGGAGGGAGGACAGGACAATGCCTGTGTCTTCCATTCCACTTTGCCGTGAGCCTAAAACTCTTCTGAAATATAAAGTCTACTTTTTCTTTTTTCTTTTTTTTTTTAAGTTTTGCCATAGGGTACGTGTGCTTACCAGAGAGACAGAGAGGGAAAGTGAGAAATCACTCCCTGTGGGGATGGCCACATTGCAATCCCTCTCCTCCGCTCTCTTCTTGGGATTTTGGCCACACACGCACATGCGCTTGGCATTTTTTCAAGCTGCTGGGTCTGGGACTCGAACATGCAGTCGGCTATGTGGGGTCCAGCTGCCTTGACTACCACCCAATCGGACGGCCCTAAAATCTTTTTTTTTCCCCCAAAGTAAAATAAAAAACAATGACATGCTCAAATGTTCAATAAAATATTAGCAAAATCCAATCCATCTGTAAATTTAAAAATAACATGCAGTGGAGTCAACAGGTGGCATGCAGTTATGTCATTAGACTCCAACATCGACTGTGGTTCGAGTCCCAGACCTAGTGGCTTGAGAATCACGCCAGGCATGTGTGCATGTGTGCCCAAGGTCCCAAGAAGAGAATGCAGGAGAAGGGATTGTGGCGTGGCCATCTCCCTGGGGGGGTTGGGGTGGGGATGTGATTTCTTTTTTTTTTTAATTTAATTTGATTTATTATCATACTCGTTTTTATATTACCTTGAATCACATATATCTTTTTCTCACTTTCCCGCTCTCTGTCTCTCTCTCTCTTTCTCTGGTGAGCACATACATCTTACGGCAAAACTTCCAAATGAACCAGGATGAGTTGACCTCTGGGATGCTAGCCTAATGTACCGGCAAGAAGCTATTACTCTCAGCTTAATCGCTCAAAGGAGAACCAACTCTGTCAACACCCCAAGAGTGCAAGTCAACATCCATTCCCAATTTTTCAAAATTAAGAAAAATATAGGCTCGGGGGAACAGCAGTTAGCGTAATGGCTATGTCGCTGGACTCCCACATAGTCGACCGCGGTTCGCATCCCGGACCCGGTGGCTTCAAACTCACGCCGGGCGCGTGTGCGTGCGTGCCTAAGATCCCGAGAGGAGAATGGAGGAGAAGGGATTGCGGCGTGACCATCCCCCCTGGGGGTTGATTTCTCGCTTTCTGTCTCTATGTCTCTCTCTGTCTGTCTGGCGAGCGCACACGCCCTATAGTGAAAATCTCTCCAAAAAAAAAAGAAAAAGAAAAATACAGGCTCGTCAGAAAACTCATGAGCTATTGTTCTTTATAAAAATGTGTCATGACTTTTCCAATGACCCAATATATATTAGAAGAACACGGGGCCAGCCAGGTAGCATGGTGGTTGAGGCAGCTGGATCCCTCATGGCCAACTGTGTGGTTCAAGTCCCAGACTTGGGGGCCCAGCAGGTGGTGGAGCGGGCACTGGACTTGCCATCAGGCGACTGAAGTTTGAGTCCTGGACCCAGCAGCTTGGAAATCACGCTGGGCATGATGTGTGTGCATGATTAAAATCCCAGGAAGACAATGGAGGAGAAGGGATTGTGGCGTGGCCATCTTCCCTGGGAGGTGATTTCTTGCTTTCCTTCTCTCTGTCTCTCTCTCTGGCGAGCACACACACACTATGGCAAAAACCTTTAAAAAAAAAGAAAAAAGTTCTCAGACTTGGTACCTTGAGGGACACCCTGGGCACCTGTGCGTGCATGCCCAAGATCCCAGGAGGAGAATGGAGAAGGATTTGCAGTGTGGCCATCCACCCTGGTGGGTGATTTCTCCCTTTCTGTCTCTCTGTCTCTCCAGTGAGCACGTGCGCCCCTATAGAAAAAAAAAAAAACTCTTAAAAAAGAATATATATATATATTATGGAGGTAATAGCCAGTGCCTTTATTTGACAAGAAAACAAAATAGTAGAGGAAACAGGAGAACTTATCCTGGTTTATAGACAACTTATTACGATGCAATTCCACGCACGCCGAATTTCAGTTTTGTTTTATTGTAAGTCATTACCATTACAATATTGACGGCTCGGTGTCTTGCTTTCCTTCTCTCTGTCTCTCTCTCTGGCGAGCACACACACACTATGGCAAAAACCTTTAAAAAAAAAGAAAAAAGTTCTCAGACTTGGTACCTTGAGGGACACCCTGGGCACCTGTGCGTGCATGCCCAAGATCCCAGGAGGAGAATGGAGAAGGATTTGCAGTGTGGCCATCCACCCTGGTGGGTGATTTCTCCCTTTCTGTCTCTCTGTCTCTCCAGTGAGCACGTGCGCCCTATAGAAAAAAAAAAAAAACTCTTAAAAAAGAATATATATATATATATATTATGGAGGTAATAGCCAGTGCCTTTATTTGACAAGAAAACAAAATAGTAGAGGAAACAGGAGAACTTATCCTGGTTTATAGACAACTTATTACGATGCAATTCCACGCACGCCGAATTTCAGTTTTGTTTTATTGTAAGTCATTACCATTACAATATTGACGGCTTGGTGGACTGCCTTTTTACCGAGTCCTCTGGTGTAGCTCCAAGCCCTGGTTTCCTGGAGAAGAGAGGCTATCTTTAACATTGACCGCAACAACCCTGCAAGATCGTACAGAAACGCACATCTGCCTTGGAGGAGTCGTTTCGGGGCTTCGAGCTGCACCGGGAGAGCTGAAATCGGGGTGTCTATTGTACCTTCGACATTCGAATGAGGAAAAATATAATAATACACTGGCAGGTTATTCCACAAACAACGGTTTGTATCAAGCAAGAAGAAGATATTTGGTACGGAAATACAACCAGACTAAATTAAAGGGGAAAAAAAAAATAACAGTTAACTGGAAACATAAAAAATATCTCAGTGTACGCGTCTCCCACCAAAATAATAACAATAATACTAATAACAATAACAACATTAATATTAAAAATAAAACCAACAACTGCATCCTAAAGTGAGCGAAGGCCTTTGGGGCTCAATATCACATTATACATGGAAAACGCATACTAGTTTAACTCATCAAAGTCAACGTTATGCAGAAGAAATGTGATACTTGGTTTTTGTTTTTTTTTTCCTTCCTCTAATGATTCCTCTGAAACAATTTTAAGCTGGGGGGAGGAAAGAACAATCCCAAAGGGTTTGTTTGTTTTTGTTTAGCCTCGAGGCTTTACAACCCTATTTTTATTGCAAAACAAAAACAAAATGCAAAGACCCAGGGTGAGGACCTTTACTGTGAATGGTGTCCCTGGCTCCAAGGGGCCCTATGGCCTGCTTGATTGCACACTATTTTCCACGACCCACCGACCCACCGACCCACCCACCGTCTCACCTCTCACTGGCTTTATTACGGGAGCCCTAAGCAAAGTAGGATGAAAATACAATAGTTGACCCCAAATACAGGAGACTGTTCCGGGGTGAAGGGAGGTGAAGGCTTGACCTCCCCAGTCCACAGGGCCTGAGGCATCTCTGAGGTCAGCTTTGCTGCTCCCCGCCCAGAGCTGGTGTCCCCTGCAGGAGGATGCGTCCAAGTCTTCCTCAGCCCTCCTTTCCAGGAGTGGGTGGGAGAGCTGGGGACTGACCTCCTAGACCCTGTCCATTCCCCCCAGAGAGCAAATGTGGACCAGTTAACAAGCCAGGTGCATTTCTAAACTCTCTACAAGAAATTCTGGGGGCCGGCCAACTGAATTATCCGTCTAGACTCTTTCCTTCCCGCGCTTTGGAAAGGTAGAGACAGAAAACATGGCTGAAAAGAAGACCTTTGCAATCGGTCCTCTGTCTTCAAATTCTCACAGTGCCCGTTCAAGGCTCAGATGCTGGGGGCGAGGGGGCGGGCAGCAGGTGGTATGGTGGTTATGGCCCTTGATTCCCATATGGCCGACCACGGTTCGAGCCCCAGACTCAGATGCTTGAAAATGATGCTGGGTGCGTGTGCATGCGTGCCCACAATCCCAGGAAGAGACGGGACTTTGGCATGGCCATTCTCCCTGAAGACGAGGTCTCACTTTCCCTCCCTCTGTCTCTGCCTCTCTCTCGAGTGAGAGTACATGCCCTATGTCAAAACAAATCAAAACAAAAAAGAAAAAGAAAGAAGGGGAAACAGAGAGAAAAAGAAAGAAAGGAAGGAAGGAAGGGGAAAAAAGGGAAAAGAAAGAAAAGGAAGAAAGGGAAAGAAAAAGAAAAGAATGCAAAAAGAAAAAGAAAGAGAAAGAGAAAGAAAGAAGAAAGAAAGAAAGAAAGAAAGAAAGAAAGAAAGAAAGAAAGAAAGAAAGAAAGAAAGAAAGAAAGAAAGAAAGAAAAGAGAAAAAGAAAAAGAAACCCACGCCTTGGTGAGACTCCAGCCCCAGGCTGGCTGGGGTCTTCTCTGCTCACGGCCAACCCACTTACTAGCACCTGTCCCTGGGACATTTCTCAGTGGGTATTTCTGGTCGTCTGTGTTTTACTGTCATGCCATCTTCCTGGGTTAGTGTAGAAGAAATATTGTCCCATCCCCTGTTTCTAAGACTTCCCTGGGTGGGACAGCTCACGTGTGTGCCTGTCCTGGAGGCTCCAGCTTCCTGGGTTACCTGGCTCAGGGGACAACTGGCCAGTAACTGACCCCCTGGAAGGCCTCCAGGTGGATGCCCCAGCTGCTGGGCAGCTCTGCTGGCTCAGGGCTTCCCTCCTAGAAAGAGAACCAGGGAAAGGTCAGCAAAAATAAGAAGGAATGGGGAGAGACCAGCAGAGGGCATAGGGGGTTACATGACTGGACTCTCACACAGCCGACCACGGTTAGAGTCCCCGACCCGGAAAAAAAAAAAAAAAAAAAAAAAAAAAATGGGGGGGGGGTCCTTCCCTTGCACAGGGGGCCTACAAGGAGAGGAATTCCAGGGCAATTTGAGAATCATCCTTAGGGATCAAACCATAAATGGCAAGTTGCCAAACAAGATGAAAATGGTTTTCTGGGCATTTGCATTTCCAGGTTATCTCCAGACACACAGAAGAGGAATTTTAAGATGGTGCCTTTCATTCAAGCCCAGGGTAAGCCAGGTTCATCTCTCCCTAACAGACCTGGAATCCTGGCGCCAGCGGGTCAGAGAGCAGGCTCTTCCGCTTCTATGTCTCTTTGATCCTTACCCCAAGTCCCTGAGGTAGCAGGGCAGACAGTCTCCTGTATTCACAGCGTGGAGCACCTGAGCCCGATGCAGTGGGAGGGGGCCCGGGAGTCCTGGGGGAGGGGGGGTGTCTGTCTCCTAGTTTGGTCTTTCTGCAACTGTCTCACTGCCACTTCGAACTCATTAAGGGAGGGCTGGCAGGTGGCGTATGCTTAAGATGCTGGACTTCCATGTGGTTGACCACAGTTCAAGTCCTGGACCCAGTGGCTTAAACTCACACCAGGCGCGTGTGCGTGTGTGCCCAAAATCCCAAGAGGAGAAGAGAGGAGAAGGGATTGCGGTGTGGCCA